AAATAAATCCATTAGTTGGTATAGTAATTACACTGTCCTTGGTTACTAAAATTAACCATATAATAGCATACAGACTTCTCGAAAATTACGGCATTGGGAAATTTGTCAGTGCGTCTAAACGTTAGAAATGCACCTTATACTCGAAAAATGCAAATGTTTTTGATACGCCCAAGTGTTCTTAAGATATCTGTTAAATACAAAGAGGCTGAACTCGTTGGAGCTGCAACCAGCGCTCAGCTGGGTGTTGGTAGTTTGTCTAGTTTGTTTAACGAAGCTTTGCACGACAATTCAACACCAAAAGTGATCTTTACCAGTTAAATTTAATGTAGCAGATTTTCTTAAACGCTGTGCAACTTTAAAAGCCTCTTGTTACTACAGTATGAATAGTGGAAAACATCATCCAAGAAAAAATCGAACTTTCAAATTAGTACTGTAGAAGATGTATGGAAGTATAACCAGACCTAATAATTACAGATATGTACGATAACATAGTAAACCGTATACAGCATTTAGACAGCTTAAGGCAAACTCAAGCTTTTTACATTAACAGGAACAGTCTCCTTCAAATATATGCATTTCGATCGATCGTTTCGATAAAAGTTTCCACCTGAAAGAGAGCCTTGGAAAGCCACTTATACATACCATAGCACGAATGCGCACCAACAATCCTCTATGTTAATGATCTGTACCACTTTGGCTGAATAAAAAGCGTTGTACGTCTCTCATGTGTCACCGTTTTCTTACAGAGATTTTGAGGAGGTTAAGAAAAAAGGCCTTAAAAATCCAAAATCAAGAAACGCATTCATAGTGGCAGCTTACCCGACTTTAATAGAGGAAGCTTACCAAACTGCTCCTCACGCTTTGCTTTTAGTGAAAGGATTGCACGCCTTAGCGACGTTCACCTTTTTTCTCATTAGCCGGAAACGTCTGTCAACTGTGAAAAGCCTTGAAAAATACATTTTGGAAGATGTTTGCACAGTTTCCCCAAAAGTCTCTCAAAGTTTTACTTTTTTCACGTAGAAGGTCAAAATAGTGTGACATTTAGTTTAATACATAAAGCCGTATTAGCATATATTATACCTTCTTCAGTTATATGAATTTGGCCACTATTGTGTACAGCCTTTTGGACATGCTGAATTCAATAACACATCCGAAATGTAAGGCAGGTCTTACTGTGGAGTTACGGTAAGTGCATTATAGAAAATCGCGGCAGAGAAGGTGGTGTAGATAGATTGTGGAAGAATGTCATGTCAGAGCTTTATTTTTTAACCGTGATCTGACACTTGATGAACAAAATCATGCAAGTGCGCACACTAAGAAAGCTTAAAAGTTAGTTCAACTCCAGGAGACTCGAAACTGGATTCAAAGGCAGGTGTTCCCATCGATATGCCTTCATCACCTTCGGGGCAGCAGCGGCCCTATGCAGAGTTTTCACGTATTTGCAATAATTCTTGAAAAATTTAACTTCTCCGCTGGTTTTCTACATCACTCCAAGCACAAAGAACTCCGTCTCGCAAGTACTTCATATGTTCTTGTTGATTTTATAGTATATTAAAGTACTCATAAATACGATTGACTTGACCCGTAGACTGTACCACATGGTATTATGGGGAAAAGGAAACCAGTAATTGTACTTGCTCAAAGAGAGAACGTAACTTTTAAACACACAGTAGCAGGATGCTGTGTGGAATCTATTCGGTCCGTTGTGGTCGCAAGATCTGCACAAAACTTCCGCGGGGCAAAGACGAGCTGTCTGCACCTATTCTTACGTTTTTATTTTTGCATTTATATCTTTGTTACGTTCCACTTTAAAGAACGTAGCATGCCGTAAATTTTGCAGTATAATCTACAGTAAGTGCGCTAATTCTT